GCTTATTAGGGTACATTAACCCTATACTCACTAACAACAGAAGTTATTTAAAAACACAAAAAAGGCTTAAATTAAGTTGCTTTCCTAGATTTTTAAGCATCTAAGACGTGAAAAATATGCCTTAAGGTTACTACCTCTGTCCTTTTTTTCACCAATTTGCCAAGACTAAAAAAGTTTTTCCTTTTGGTTTCATTTCCTATAAATGATGTAGTATATACACCCTACTGTGGTTGTAAACACGCTGGCACAACTAAAATTAATTTTAAAAGTAATAGTAATATAAAAATTAATTTAAGCATATGCTAAATATTTTGAAATTCATGTTGAGTAATAACGTTCCTTCTCATTATTAAGGGATTTGTGAATACGGGGTTATTTTCTTTTAGTTTTGAAGCTGCACAAACATAAGGGATCAAATAAAATAAAGCCTCAAAGAGTTCTAAGTAAAAGCAGGAATGGAAAGAAAGCCCTAAAAACTGAAATCAATGTCTCTTGCCTAAAACCTCATTGTTCAGATTCTTTGGCAATTATTAAAATGAAAATGTCATAGAGATTTGAAATAACTCTACACAAAAATTACTTACTCTGTAATGTTAACTTAAACCCATTACAGTTATTAGCGTTTATACAAAAATGGCATGCAATGTTTTGCCAAACTGCAAAAGTTAACTACACATTATCACTGAACATAATCACACAAAAATTAGTAAAAATGATTGGCAGGTGAATAACATTTAATAAAAATGGAGAAAATGAAGCAGTGCTTTGGATGATTTGTGGTTATGCTTCATTTACTCATAATAGGTCTATTTCTTAAAAAATTTCCAGGCCAGGCACAGTGGCTCATACTTGTCATCCCAGCACTCTGGGAGGCCAAGGAGGGTGGACTACTTGAGGCCAAGAGTTTAAGACCAGCCTGGGTATCATGGCGAAAACCCATCTCTACTAAAAATACAAAATTAGCCGGGCATGGTAGCACGCGCCTGTAGGCCCAGCTGCTTGGGAGGATGAGGTGGGAGAATCACTTGAACCCCAAAGAGGTGGCTGCAGTGAGCTGAGAACATGCCAGCCTGGGTGACACAGTGAGACTCTGTCTCAAAAATTTTTTCCAAAGACAGTATTTGATAACCCGTAATTTTATTTGTAACTTATTAACTACAGTTCCTTAAATAGGTTCCTAAAATAATTATATGTACCTTAAGCAAATTATCTTTTTGTCTCAGAAGAAACCACCATGTATCTGAAAATTGTTTTTAATTCATTCTACACTATACAATTCTGGTTAATTTATCTCTTTCCTATAATCCCTAAATTCTTAGTCTTGTTTATGGTTTTCTGATCTCCTGCTGGAATTGAAATACAGATCAACAAATATCATTTGGAGACACTGCTTTACTCCTTATACAAATCAGTGCTACTTTCCTCTCACTTTTTAAAAAGGCATTACTCTCTCGTATTAATTTTGATTTACTTCTCAATATAAAATCTAGAACCAAATATAAAGTAAGTTTCTCTTCATCTCACACTTGTGTAACTCACTTTCATTTCCAGAAAATCACGTTTTAGTGATTCACTGCTTACAAATAAACAGAAACCATAGTACTCACACTGAATCAAATAAACCTTTATACTTGCCTAGGTATGGAAGTTAGTTACCCAAGTCATCAGAAGACAGTCATTATCCGCAAAGTGCTCAATAGCTAATAAGTGAAATTTATTCCCTGTGATGCATTTGACTATAATGTCAAATGTGTATTAAACTTACAAGAATAAACTTATGGTAAACCCACTATTTTTTCTCAATAGCCCAATCAGTCTATCCTAGACAGTTACATACATATGCCACGACAATATTCCATATGGCAAATTTCAAATAACCTAATTCAAAGATTAAAGTAAATTATTACATATCCCAACCACTTCTGTACTTATAAGTTCATAATCAAATTTATACTTTTCAAATTATTCTCTTTAAAATTCTAAACCACATTTCTACAGGTTTCACTAGCTAATTTGCAAATAAACTGGCTCACGTATAAACCAAACTGGTTTCTGCAACTCCCAGTAACATCTTTCTCTTGCATTTTTTTTTCCTTTAAATAAGAGAAAATGTGAGGAGAAACTTGCACATTCTGCTCATATCTAAATATGTGGTCCTCAGTTTACTTTTATTTAAAATGAAAGCACCTAAATGAATCAAATTTATGAACCTCTTGTATTTAGTTGTGGTTTATACCTGCAATCCTAGCATTTTAGGAGGCCGAGGTGGGAGGATTACTTGAAGCCAGGAGTTCAAGATCAGCATGGGCAATATAGTAAGACACTGTTTGTACCTATATGGCTACACACACACACACACACACACACACACACACACACGCAAAAAACAAACAAACAAACAAAAAAAAGATTTACATTAATTTTGTCAAAAAGCAACTTACTTAAAAATATTAAACTTTATAAACACCCACAATGCACATACTGCGCCTATCATAGTGTCAACACCACCAATTATTACTCCATATACAAAATCATGATATTAATGAGAAACAATGAGACTTATATTTTAACTTACAGACCTATAGATTTCTATTTTAAGGAAATCCACTTTTTTAAATAAGGTGGTAGTAGGTTGCGTGAATTTTTAAATGTTCTTTAACTTAAAATAGGGAACAGGGACTTATTTGTCATTACCACAAGCCAAGGTAAACATGGGTGTCCTAGGAAATGTCCAATTTCCCCACAGTAATAAACATCTTACTAACATTACAATAAAAACAATAACATTTTTGTGGGGGGGATGGAGTCTCACGTTGCCCACGTCGCCCAGGCTGGAGTGCAGTAGCATGATCTTGGCTCACTGCAACCTCTGCCTCCTAGGCTCAGGCAATCCTCTCACCTCAGCCTCCTGAGTAGATGGGACCACAGGCACGCCACCATGCCCAGCTAATTTTCTGTATTTTTACAGAGAAGGGACTTCACCGTGGTGCCCAGGCTGGTATCGAAGTCCTGAGCTCAAGTGATCCTCCCTCCTTGGCCTCACAAAGTGCTAGGATTACAGGCATTAGCCACCCTGCCAGGTCAACAGTACCTATTATTAAGTCATTTGAAGATTCTATTTTTTGATGTAATGAAACAAGTATATATTTACATACTTGGGGATTTCTATCTTATAAACACAGCATATAGCCCACCAAAAAAGAAAGAGACTAAGACTTAGATCAAGGTTAAATTAAGGTCCTAAGTCTGCCACCTATTAGCTTAACTGAAAATGATCCCAATATCACAGCCTTTTGTCAGGAGTAAAGAGCAGAGATAAGAAGGTTACTAAAATTTAATATTTCATAAATATGAAATTCTTAAGATATTTAAACAAATCAAGATAAAATCCCTATGACAAAGTTACTGTCCATTTTACAGATAAAGATACTGAGGTGCAATGATTTAAATTAATTCTCCTCAAAGTCATATCGCAAATTGAGTGGTGGAACTGTGACATAACTCAGATCTAAATCTTACTGCTCCTTCCACTACGTCATACTGAAGCATATGAAATAAACATTCCATAAATTATATACTGTTATCGTAACAGTGGGAAGAGAAAATATTTTTTTATTATAATGAAGAGGCACATTATCCTTCCCAAAAAATAAGGACTTTCAAATTACGTTACATATTCATATATTTAAGTTATTCTAGATGCCACTTGATATGGCCGACAAGTGTGAATATCTCCACATACATATTGAGTATCAGCAGTCAGTTAAGCCTCAAGTGGACTTATCTACTTTTTGCAGGCCTATGTTATTCTTTAAACAGAAGGGAAGGGCTGCACTTCCAACAGAAACGCTGCCGGCTTCTATCAAGCCACCACTAAGCACAAGACCACGTGGTCTCTCAGAAGCCTAAGGTTCCCTACTCCTCTCCCTCCTTTGACAAGGAACTGGAAATTAGGGTTTCTCTTATGTGGAGCCCTGACATGCCACCTGTGTAATACAGACCACAAACATCCTGCAGCCTGCCTCCCGGAAGATTACAGGAATCAGAATAAAAGGGAACTTGGACGCCGACAATTCTAGGAAAGGAAATGAACGAACAAACAGAGAAGTTAAGCCGGCGAGACCGTGATAAGCGGCTGCACCCGGACCTGTCAAGACAGCGTTCATAAGACTCAAGCCGAACCACTCTAACCTATCATTCGGGAAGGCCTGAGGTGGGAGCGGCACTACGGAAGGAAGGAGGACGAAGAGAACCGCACGAGTCAGAGCCGCCGCGGCCGCCGCCGCCGCTTCCCGGATACCTTTCAGCGTGCCCCGGCAAGCCGCGAACCCTGACTCTCCTCTGGAGTCCAACCTTTGCCCCCACATTTCAGAACCAGCCAAAATCCTGCTGCCCAGGGCGGCCGCCGCCGGACCTGCCCGCACCTGTCACTAGCGAAAGACACCAGTTCGCGGCTCCCGCCCACTTCTCCGCTATCCTCGGGAGACCGCGAACATCTCAATCCCTTTCTCTTACCAGGTGTCCCCTTTCCGGAGCGAGGTTTTGAGCAGCGTAGCGATGTCAGACCGCTGGGTGTCCAAATCCGCCGCTCCGCCTTCCGCCATCTTCTTCCACTAGCGGTAGGGGAGGTGGCAGAGACGGCGGCGGCACGCCCCAGAGCATTATGGGAATGGCGTCCCACGGCCCCTCCCAGTCGGCCGGTCGAAACCAAAAAGCACTGGAAGCGGGGGTGGTCCGTGGGACCAGAGGAGGCCCCGGGGGCGGGTTGCGTGCGCGGCCGTGGTCTGCTGCCCCCCATCGGTCCCCGCCCGTCCAGCATCTTGCCTTGGCCTCCTCCGGCCCGGGACCGCCAGGTTTTAACTCTCCTCGCCGCCGAGGGCTCCTGCGCTCTCTCGCTAGAGCGATGCCACCACCCCGTCCTCCCTCCTCAGTATTGCCTTCCCCTCCCTCTTTCCCACTGACGCCTTGAAAACCCTTATTTGCGCATTCACTCAGGCTTGAGGGTGAGGTAGGGTGGGGCGGGGGGCGTGGGGACGGCTAAGATACGGCAGAAGGTTTAGCAGCTCCGTGACTGGGCTTTTCGTTACAAGTAGCAGAACCCAAGCTCGGTGAATATGGGCACCCACAGAAAACATTCCGAAACCGAACGCTTGGCCTCCATGCCCTTCCTGGGTTCCTCCCGTTGTAAGTAGGGACCCCTTTATAGGCTCTTTGTGGCTCCTCCCCAGGCACACCCAGAAGACTAAGCTGAGGTGAAAAACAAGTCCCAGTTCAGCGGTGAACACGGAGTAGAATATGGGCAGTATTGAATAATGCCAGATACTAAAGGAAGAAAACGTGTGTGAAACCCTCTTCATGTAAGAGAGTAACATTTTCTTAACCTCGTCTTCCTAGGGTGCTGTACACCTGAAATGAAACTAGATCATACTGTCTTTAATTTAAAGTCAACGATTATGTTTCAAGTTAGACAACTGAGTCGCTTAAAAATCAAATGCCAAGGTCACACAGCAGGTGGAGAGGTAAGAGGAGAGGCTGGTTCAAGAACCCACGTGGTATACGATATAGCACACTCACTGCCTCTTCTTATGAAAGCCTGAACTAAATTGTAAACTCCTTAAGAGCTGGAACTGGGTTCATCTTTTGTTTTGTTTTAACCTCTGTACACCTGGTGGATAGCACAGTACTCCTCGACATGAATAAATCACCTAAATATTTGTTTAATAAATGAATTGTGGCAAAGTTACTTAAGTATTCTCGAGCATGATGTCTAGGGGTTTGCTTTTAACATACCATATTGATGTCAAAAGTTTAAAAGACGGTCTAGAATCCCCGCATCGTTTCTCTTGTTTTTCCATTTTAAACCCTGACTCATTCGGTGAGAATGCGATAAAGATAGGTGTAGTTATGCTACTAGGAAAAGCTGAATCCTTCCAAGTGAAAGTAGTATATATTGGCATTATGATTTGCATATATCAGTATGATGATTATGATTGCTTATTTCTGGATAGTAATACTGTTTTGCATTATCATGCCAACCTTGAATTGAGAGTTTTAAAACAGCTTTCAGTGACTGCTATTTCTGGCTTTTCTCCTGACAGGTTAAAAGATTAAGTTTCTCTAACCACAGCTACCCTCTAAAAGTCAGATTTCCCTCCTTTTTCCAGTCACTCTCTGAAAGAGAAGAAACTAATTTTCTGAAGGGAAGCCGCATAATATGGAAAACATATGTTGGAGCCACATGAATGTAAGTTGAAATCTCACTTCAACCTTTAGCTGCAAAGTTCTTACCCTTTAATTAATCATAAAATTGAGTATAATTATATCTACCTTAAAGGATTTTTATGATGATTAAATGAAACAATGTGTATTTATTGCCTGGGACATAATAGCCATTCAGTAAACACTAGTATAATTTATTGATGACAGGGTGAATTGTACAGTATGTGAATTATACTGCCAAAGTCTATCGAAAAAAAAGTGTTAGGGGCTTTGAAGGCAAAACTGTACTCCTTCATTTTATAAACATAACATGTAGCAATAAATCATTCATACCCTAATGTCCAATTTCCCTTAAAAAATGCGTTTTTTGAAGTATTGACAACTACAACCATACAACAAAGTAAAGTAATATCTTCTTCACTTGCACCATGCCTAAGGTAGCAGGTTAACTGGATATAGATGCGTAAATACAATGCCAATTTGAATTACACATCAGATTTCTGGGGCTATTTTGTAGACGTAACTAATTGCCATCAAGAAAGAGATAAAATTATGTTACAGTATTTTATTTAGCAAATACAGAGTGCCTAGCATGGTTCTAAACACTTTAAAGTACTAACTTAATTCTCACAGCAATTCCATGACGTAGGTACTATTATTATTTCAAACCAATAGATATGGAAGTGAGGCAAGTAAGTGGCAGAACCCAAATTGAAACCAGGCAGTCTGGCTGCAGAATCTGGTAAGTTTGGATAAATTTCTATTTTTCTATTGACCTTTGTTGTTTTGTTTATAGCAGTCAACTTTTTAGTGACCTCAGTTGATCAATTTGGGGAAATTCTGCTTATTTTACTGGTGCTTCTCTCAATTATGAAGATGAATAAGATATTGTTCATAAATTGGGTAAGGTCCACATCCCTACTGAATAATTAAGTAGATAAATTGATGAGAAAAGCTACTTCACCTTAATCACAGATAACTGAATATAAATCAGGGATTATATCTGCTTATTTAGAATGAATGTCTTCACTGATGCATTCCTTAGTTAACTTTTGATGAATGTACAATTTGCTTGGTGATTGTTATTACCTTCTCAGACTCTCTGTACCTTTCTTGTCAATTTAAAACTTAACCTAGAGAGTTGAGTTTGCTGAGTACTTTAGACATTAGGCTTGATATGAACAAGCTGGACTTTGTAATGTCACAGTTGTGAAATTAGAGATTCTCCAGGAAGGATTTCTTTATCCTCTGGTAATTCCAAACCTCTCTACTTTCAGATGTTTAAACAGTTCCTTTAAGAGAGATTATTTTACTCAACAGTTAAGAGATGGGACTTCAAGTGTAAATACTTCAGGAGAGAGTCAGGCTTAACACTAAAGTGTCAAAGAGAGCCAGTTTTCAGCCTGGGGTGAACCAGAGAAAAAAGAAAAAGCACTGTATTTTGTAATACAGTTTAATGGAGGAAAGCACAAAGGAGAATTCCAAGATAAGCTTTCCACACTTTATAATTTTGTGTGGGACTGGCTACATGAGCTGAAGGGAAAATCTGCCTAAAATTTGAGTGTACTTAGCAAATCACACATACACACTTTGAGTGTGCTTAGCAAATCACACACATGCACACACACTATCTATCTGTCTGTCTATCTATCTATCTATCTATCTATCTATCTATCTACCTACCTACCTACCTACCTACCTACCTACCTACCAACCAAAATCAGCATACCCCATAAAAGAACAATGTTTGATGACCTGGCTGTTTTTATTTCTCAACTCTTCCTGTCTTTAATATTCAGAAACCACTATCTCAGTTTTTCCTTCTTGTCCTTCCTCTACAGTTATTCCCACCCACGACCTTACCACCCCCTCATTCTTACTCACCCCTCTAAACCTTTCATTCTTTTATCTTATGTAATTGTATAGTTCTCATCTCTCTTTATCAGCTCTCAGAGTAGCTAAAAGGCAGTGGAAAGGCAGGGGAGTAGTGCAAACACCAAAATAGCATGTAGTAAAGTGCTTAATCTGTTAATGATATTTTGAAACTTGTGATATGAATAAAAATTGTAAGTGCCATGAGGCAGTTCTGAAAGTTAAAAAAAATTACAGAGGGTCCTTATTTCAGACAAACGTTAGGTTCTGATAAAGAGAATGAAAATACAGTAAGATGAACACACTGCCTTTTACAAAGAGCCACTATACTTGGATTTTGACTCTGGCTTAGTGCCATTAGCTAGCTGGTAACCTTGGCTAAGTTATTTAATCTGTGTGACAATTTGTTTTCTTATTATAAAATAAAGTGATTAGATTTTGGGGGCTGAAACTCAAATACTTGCAGGATTAGATACAGCTAATGTAAATGGGTGAAGCAAATCTGTTGGGGATAATAAGGAGCTGTGGGGACTGTTGAACTGTCTATCCTAATTAAAGGTCTAAATTTAAAAAATTAGAGCAAACAAAATTATATTTTCTGTCCTATAGGATCTAGAAAGTTTAATTTTAGCATGGTCATAAAGTCTACAAATTAATTAATCTAGGTTCCTACTTTATATCCTCTTTTATTTTATTTTATTTTTAAGACAGAGTTTAGCCTGTTTCCCAGGCTGGAGTGCAATGGCACTATCTCAGCTCCCTGCAACCTCTGTCTCCTGGGTTCAAGCGATTCTCCTGCCTCAGCTTCCCGAGTAGCTGGGGTTACAGGTGACTGCCACCATGCCCCACTAATTTTTGAATTTTTGGTAGAGACAGGGTTTCACCATGCTGGCCAGGCTACTCTCGAACTCCTGACCTCAGGTGATCCACCCACCTCGGCCTCCAAAGGGCTGGGATTACAGGTGTGAGCCACCGTGCCTGGTTTATACTCTTTTTAAGAAGTCCATAAAGCATCCAAAAAGCTGACTCTACCATGAAATTTGCTATCAATCTGCCCTGTAGTGAACTCTCATTACATGCTGATAGAACTAAATTCATTTGTATTTATTTATTTATTGAGATGGAGTCTTGCTCTGCAGTGGCCTAGACTGGAGTGCAGTGGTATGATCTCGGATCACTGCAACCTCTGCCTCCCAAGTTCAAGTGATTCTCATGCCTCAGACTCCGGAGTAGCTGGGATTACATGCATTAAAGCCACCAGCCCAGATAATTTTTTTATTTTTAGTAGAGTTGGGGTTTCACCATGTTGGCCAGGCAGATCTCGAACTCCTGACCTCAAGTGATCCACCTGCCTCAGCCTCCCAATGTGTTGGGATTATGGGTATGAGCCAGTGCGCCTGGCCAGAGCTAAATTGATTTGAATTGATAAGCAAATCAAATATCTAACAGGTCTAGAATTATAATGAAATAAAATCCTTAATAGACATAGTATATATTCTGTGGGTTCTGGATATTTAAAAATTAAATGTATGTATATGGTAGGAAACTTTCAAGAAAGATTTAATTCTTCCCATGCAACCAAAAGTGATATAGGTCAAATCAAATTTCATAGTAGGAAAAATCTGCCTACTTTATATTTTTTTACTTGTTATTTACATTTATTTACAGATTTCAAAGTTGATAAAGAACCTCTACATGAAAAATATTGAAATATTTAAGCAGCCTTCGGGGTCTTTCTTAAGCCTCATAATAATGGATGAACTTTAGAAAAAAAAATCATTTCAAATATGCTGATCATTTTTGAAATTTTTTATTCGTTTAAAAAATATACTGATCTTTTGTTTTAAATGGACAAGTTTAAACAAAATATCTTAATGTTATCTGCTTGATCCGTTTTACTTTAAATCTGTTTCATTCAAAGTTTGAAAATAATTATTTTATTATGCCCATGAATCTTGGAAATCTATCCTACCAAAGTGAAGTAGAGAGTTGTTCAATGAACCAGTGATTCTGAAGCTAAATAGATTCCAGAGAGATTACCTTTGTTTTCTCCCAAGAGAAACTGAATTATTCAGACTTTCTGTTTAGACAATCTTTCACTTCATTTTGGCTGAGACAGCAGAAGGATTTAAATTACAAAGAGTCTAAGAACAATATAATAGTCTTAGGACAATATAATAGCGTGTCTTCAAGAATATATGTTTCAGGACTGATGGAAATATTAAATAGGTATTCTTTATAATGTCTTCCAGGTTTCACTAAGCAACAGGACACTATAGACCACACAGTAGCTTTAGGTCGAATTAGAAGATACCAACAATGAGTCAAAAAACAGGTCTAGTGATTTCATAAAAATATTTACCATTGATTTTTGTTCCTAGCCAGTCTGCTTCTGTCTATGTCGTCTTGAACTACATCAGTTATGCATTTCTAGAATTGTTAGTGACCCAAGGCTTCTGTGTAATACATTGGATGTGATTTCTACAGCACGAGGAGATAGTCAAAGTGAGGAAACTCTAGAATGGTAGCTCAGGAAGTATATGTTGACTATCACTTTTGGTCTTTGCAACTTTGGAATCTATGTATCTTGCTAACTTTCTTCCCAAGTTCTGGAGCTGCTTGAAAAACTTTTGCAGAAGTGTAGATCTGAGTGGAACATGGGGTGAATTGAATTGGATGAGGTACTATGCCATTAACATCATCTTTCATGACTAGAGAATTTATTCCTCCAGCTGCTGGGACTTCTACTGATCTCAATTGTCAGTCTTCTTTGGGAATTGCTCTCAACAGGAAAGAGACACCATGTGTAGTTCATGCTCTCTTCAAGGGGCAGCTAGTATGCAATGACTAATTGCTGTAGGGTTTAAAAGACTTGGCTTCATTTCCTCTATTTGGAACAACTCTGAGGAGCAATCTAGCTTCAGCGGGTTGGTTAAGTCTTTTTATAAATTTATTACAGTCCTCTTTCTTTCTCTACTCAATCTTGCTTGCTTCCTTTCTTCCGCAGGTGTTGATCCTGAGAGCACTTCTTTATAGGCTATTTTACACCACAGCGTCTGCTTTCAGGGCACCAGACTTGCACCACCACCTTAATGTTTCCAAGGCTTAACAAATGGTGTTGCAGCCACACCCTTGTTTTGGTCTTTACCCTGGCAGTGGCCTAAATTTACTTTTTCTTTGAGATTGGGATTTGTTGAGAAACAGTTTCATTTTTAAGCCTACGATTTTCGGTATTTCTAAACTCTATTTCCTCTCAATTCTGTTTGTAACCTAGGCAGTTCTTTTTGAGCTCACCACTTTCTTGTGCTTTTTCAAAGGCAGCTAGCAGCAGCCAGCTTTTCAACATTCTTCTTTGAAATCACCTCATCCAAATTCACAAGTTAACTAGATGCATGTTCTGTATTTCATATTATTGCAGGTGACAATTTCACCAAATGATTTGCCACTATTATAACACTGCTTGTCATTATTGCAGCCTCCTGTAACAATGACATTACTACCTGCTGCCCATTCCCAAAGCCAATGCCACATATTTGAGATTTTAAGTTATGGCAGCACTATACGTTATACACCAAATTCTGAATCAGCCCAATTTTTCTACCTTTCAAAACACCCAAAATGGTAGTGGCATGCAACAATATATACATATTTTTTACTCATGAATTTTTGGTTAGCCGGAGATTGTCTGGTCTTGGCAAGACTCAACTGGTCTCTGAGCTTAAGGTCAGGTCCTGGTCTGTTCTACATATCTCTATCGTCTTTAAACCAGAGGATAGCTGAGTCATGTTCTCATTGCAAAAAGAGGTCAAAAGACAAGCCTAACTAGGCAGGACCT